AAATGCATTCACATGTGCATGCGTGCAATGCTAAAGTTTAAATGATTTTTGTACACTTCTTTGTAAATGTTGTTAAAATCTCACATGCATAGAGTTTGTCATTTAATGAAGCTTACAGGGAATATGACACCAAAAGGGAGTTGGGGAGCGTTTGGGGAACATTTGTAACGGTCCCCGTTACAATTAGCACTAGTTAATTTTAGCTTTTATTTCCCATGCAGTTCATGCTTTTTTTTTGTTCCCATATATTTAAACGTAAAACATGGTTTCGAATTCCTATATTGTGATCACGCCGTATCCCCAAGGATCATGATTTTGACAATTTAGAATCTGCATTACTCTATACCCTTTATGTTTCAACATAATTTTCAGCTTTTCTGGCCCAGTGGTTCTAGAGAAGAAGATTCTTAAAGGTTTTTCCTAAATATTATATATTTCTATGTAGAACTTTGATTCCCTATTGCAGCTATACCTTGAACTTAAGAAGATTTTTTAGACTTATACATATACAATTACTAGTATATATTTCTCAACAACAAATCCACATAATTAAGCTTTTTATTTTGACAAAATATTCATAAAATCAAAAAACAAAATATTTAAAGTAATATGATATACACATAGACAAATTTACTTTAACATGTTTCATGTTTTTTCAAAAAAAACTTTATTAATTTTGTTCAAATATTGTTAGCTAAGATTAAAATCTCGCCATATTCCTACATCCACAGTAGTTTGAATCAAAAAAAAAATTGCATCAATTGATAAAGCAAAAAACATGGCAATGCTTGAAGCTCTTTAAGGCCTCGTTTTCAGATCAGGAAGTCAGAGTCCAAATGGAGAGCATGGTGAAGAACAGCGTCCGGCCTTTCATTTTAACCTCTACTGTTTGACCGTATTCCAGACTCTTAATCAGAACCAGCTTGCTATCATTAGTGAAGTTGTCATTTGCTGGTCCATCGCTGCGAATGGTATCTATAACTTCACCATCGACAAGTATCTGAAAAATGGTGTCCACCTGGGTTGCAAACAAATTGACGGAAATGAGGTACATATCAAAACGGGGCGAGGTGAAAACCCCAGAAACGGGGTCTAAGGCTGAACCCAAGTTTTCACGTACAGCTCCATTGGCAAACGGATTACAAAATTCTTGCTCACAAGACAAATGAAATTCCTTTTGAGTAGCTGTCACTACAACCACATTGGTTTCTGCAAAATTACAAAACATAGAAAGTTATCAAAAATACTTACATCATATGTAACTGCTACATGTATAATCTGTCTAAGTTCAAGCTTAAAAGAAAAAAAAACAACTATGTCTTACCATTCAAATCAAAATACTTGAACACTGCAATAGATGTTTCATTTGATACCCGTGTCGTGTTGAAAGTATAGAATTGGTTCTGTATGACGTCACCCTGATTATATCTGGCCATAAATGTGTAGGAGTTTGAGGTTCGAGTAGAAACCGACAAGGTTGAGTAATGAATCATCTTAAAACGGCCATCGAGGTAAGAGGCGTGAATGGCCGAGTCCAGGAGACAGGTGGTCATGCTGATGACGTAATATCCGGAGCTAGACACGGTGTAATTGGTGTTCGCTGTGAAAGTTTGGGCTGTGTTGATGTGTACGTCATCATAAGCTAGATGTTCCCATGGGCCTCCTTGAATCACAGTGCCGTCAGGGATGCTGGCATATAAGACTTCTTGAGGAGATTCCATTAGAGCTGAAGTAAAAGAAAAAAGCTGGTTATATAGATAGAGTTATTTCGACCTTATCATCAGCAGTAGAGGACTATCATCTGAAGTCTTACCCCATAACCCGGCAGTCCCGATGCAGTTCGAAAACATAATAGATATCGACAGAAGCTGTAAAGCTTACAATTGTGAAATTTACATATACCTTCCTTAGAGTGTTACATGCAATTACTATCCGTCATGACCCTATAAAGTGTCTTAAAACATACTTCGCAATGAAAACAAGGTTAAAGTAGAGCCACTCTGCAGCGTGCCGTTGGCATGGACCGTCATTTCATCTCCCTTGTTCAAGGCAAGCACTATAGCATTCGCACCATCTTCAAAATGCCAGCTGTTGGCAGGCAAAACGTCATTAGTGATAGACCCCACCCTGACGCCATTCTTCCGAAGTTCCATCATGACATAGCGATGGGACTCGGTTCTAGCCGTCATGTAGAAGGAGTAGTACCCAGTCCTTTTGGCTTTGAAAATTCCCGTGTTGTTATCATAGGAGTATCCCCTATTCATTTCGATGTTATCAAACAATATCTGGCCTGGTCCGGAGAATTGCTTGACTCTACCAGTGAATCCCTCATTCACTGAAAAAATAAAAAAAATAATATTTGATAATATGAAGTCTTCGCCACAAGATAATATAAATAACTACACTGTACATAATACAAGGAAGATCTTACACTCCACTTCTATAAAGACAGACGAGTAGGCTTTTCCATACTCTGTTGAGACTTCAAGTTCGTAGATACCCGTATCTGCAATGTTTCCTTCACATTCGACGCGTCTATATTGAATGAAATCCCTGATGCCAGTGAAGTCCGGGCCCTTGTCGCGACACCCCGGGCACGTTACGTTATAATTGATATCACCAGTCGAAGAGTGGTCACGGGGCCGTATGTTGTAGCCAACAGTAATATTTCTATATCTCGGACATTTTAAGGCACAATTTTCTTGTTTGTTGACTAATTCAAGAAGAGGAACACCTAAAGGAAAAAAAATGGTTTTAGAAACAAAGAACTTTTTGTACTGTCTTCATTGTTTGTTGTATATGGTTATTGTGCGTTTTTTCGTGTTTATTTTAAAAGATATGTTTCTTTTTTTTAAATTGGATTTGATGAAACTTACGATAATCGTTAGAAGCTGTGAAATAGCAATCCGGAGGTGTTATATAGTTCGTCTACAAAATAAAACAAGAGTTATGCCCCCTATGGTAACACAATTATGTATTTTTTTTCTTCAAAAGTAGGTCAGAGGTCACAGTTGAGGTCAAATGATAAACATTTCTGTACCATGCAATGGAAAGGAAATGTCATACTGAATACCTATTTCAACTATTAACTTCTGTAAGCTACCCGCAATAGTTACGGGCAAGGCTAACGGTAAGTTTACATCAGACAGAGAGACATACAGGACAAAAACAATATGCCCCCCCCCCCCAGGATTATTCGCATGCATGGGGGTATAAAAATGTATATATTACATTTTTCCATTCCCATCTATGTGAAAAATGAAATAATATTAAAAAGATATATTTCTGTACGACAATGTACGTGGCTGTATTTAAAACAGGAATAAAGCTTAATTTAATGCTTGAAGTTGCAAAGTATCAATGAAAGATAGTATATTACTTGCGAGAGCGCTTGCATAAATTGAATCAAAGTAAATAATTTGTTTACGTGGAATGTAAGGATACTTTAATGAACCATAACTATCTAAATATATCACGGTATTATTATTATTGTAATTAAGATATCATTATTATTTAAAAATATAATCTTAAAACAACATGACATACATAAACCAAAAACAAAAACATGACATTAAAACATAAATTGTATTACAATAATGCAATCTAAATATTGTCAATTAATATAATAAAACTTTATATAAATTCAAATGTTCATACCACTTCTTTTGTTGATTGCTAATAGAAATTACATACCGAGTTAAAGAGCCCAGAATTATGAAACATCGAAAAGAACTTCAAACTGAACACAATGGGTATAGTTAACATGGTGACCAATGTTCAGAATAAGTTAACAACTTTTCTTACCACCTTTATATATAATAGGCAGATTGACCACGTGACAATAACTGATCAATCATTTTCCTTGTTGTATAAAATTGATTTAATCAATTATTTTTTTAAAGCAGACTTACTCATTTTGATAGAAAAGAGCTTTCATTACTCTTTATTTTGGAAAGGACTTCTCACTACAGAAAACAGCTTAAATGTCATTTCTTTTGGGAAAGGACATTTAACTACATGTTTTTCTAAAAAGTAAAAACCGTATGGATAAATTGAATAAAAAGAGCTCAAAGGCTTTTGAGAACTTCATTCTGAATAACTTAAAACAAGCGTATACTGTAATTTGAGAATCTGTGTTCCTCGCTAAAGGTAGGACACAATTCACTGTAAATAGGTCAAATTTTCCTCAAATTCAATTTTTCTGAAACTTTGATATTTTGCTCTAGGATACAAAGTCTCTCTTTAATTTTGATATAAAAGAAATTCAAACATACTTTTTTTGCCCACATAGTCTGAAATATGGCCTATCAGACCCCCGTAAGAAGATTGTGATGTCAGACATTCGACTTAAGAATGAGCCTTATTTTAGAATTATCAGTTGATCTTTTGTAAATTTGTATAATACTTTTGATAAAGATAACCTTTTTGTTACTTTAAATCAGTAAGTGATATTGATACTGGAAAGTTTGAGTAAAATATTAAGTAAAACTAAAACATACGTAGCGTCGGAATTAAAAATTCATATGTAAATATCCCACAGTTTTCTTAAGAGAAAGTTTTCTTAAGAGAAAATGTATGATTCAATTTTTACAAAAGAATACACTAAATTGTTCAAATGATTCCTTGAATAAAATGTGTAAAAATAAAGAAAATTAAACCAGTGGTTTCAGATATTTTGGCGATTAAAAAAATTTCAATAACAAAAAATACTAAACGATTCTGTAGATGACGTAACAATATTTGATCTTTGTCCTCTTGATATGTCCTTGACCTGTGTAGTACATAAAATATGGAGGACTCCTTAACCATGTGTTCAAATATCAACCCTCTACTATATATGAAACAGAAGTCACACTGCATTTTATAACAGACTGTTACATGCTTGTTCATAGCACTTAGCGTAAAGAAATTCCAAAATGCAAGCTCCCAAGTGACCAATATAGAGGATTCTCTGATTTTTTCACAAAATATTACGCAAACATGCCAAAACTTATCATTTTTCTTCCAAGGATCATTCATTGTTGTCAATCAAGTAATTTTATTACATTTTTACCCGTGAAATACTGTAATTTATTCATTGTATAAAAATGATATCCTGTCACACTGTGAAAGGATATCAAAATGATATCCTGTCACACTGTGATGAATAACAGAAGTGCGGGAAAACTCTCGATTTCCCTTCCTATAACGAATATTGCTGTAGAAAAAAAAATCTTCCTTGACCTTATGTAAGAAAGATAAAAATAAATAAACCACTCTTACAGCGAATTAAACTGTTAAAATTACCAAAAATATGTTGCTAAATCCATGTTTACAGTGTTTTCACCTCACATAGCTATGACGTCTCAACCGCTCAACTATGACGTCACGAGCCTATGACTGTATAACAAAAAGACAGAGGCAAAGGAAAAAATCAAGGAATTTTATTTTGAAAATGTAATAAACAGAAAATTCAATGTTTTGAAGTTGAATATGGAATTTATTTCACTCGTGAGACAGGATTTTTTGATATTTTCACTCGTGCTTCGCACTCGTGAAAATATCAAAAATCCTGTCCCACTCGTGAAATAAATTCCATATTCAACTACAAAACATTGAATATCCTCTATTTATTCAATTTTTTCTCCAGTATTTTTGAAGAAATGGGTTTAAATAGAATCCACGGGTGTTTTGTCCTACCTAAAGGAAAAAGAAGAGTAGGTGCAGATCTAGAAGGGGTATAAGGAGGACAATTTAAGAAGGACAGACGGTGCCATAGGGAGTTATGGTATAAAATTTAATTGCAAAGGCTTCTTGGGATATATCCTGTGAATAAAAGTATTAGAAACAAATAAAATTTTTGAATTAACGACTTTAACCTTTGACGTTTTTGCCTCAAAATTAATAGGGGTCTACAGCAAGCCATTGTATTTGTGGTATAAAACATCAAGCGAAATGCACAGTCTTCTCTAGATATCGCGCGGAAACAAAAGTGTTAAAAGACAAAAGACAAAATTTTAATTTATGACATTTATCTCTTAGTCATAGGGAGTGGATTTTTAAAATGTCACTGCAAAAGCTCAAAGGCTTGTCGCGATATGGAAACGAAAGTGTTATGTTAGACAGATACAACTATACATGCAGACAGACGGACAGACAGCTAGACAGACGGACAGACCTAAATTCTCATAAAAAATGATAACTTCAAAAAGCTAAACATTTTATTTCTTTCCAGTTACAAAAAACATAAAATGTTACCAGAAAAACACACAATATTGTTTGTATCCTAGAGAAGATCAGGCCAAGGAATTATTATAAAAATGACCATTTACAAGTCAAATACGAGGGTTGATCCAAAAGTTCGTGGAATTTCTTTCTAAAATTTTATTGTGATTTGATGAAGGCAAACAACATGCATATTTAAAATATACAGCCATAATGCAACAATATTGGAAAATTTCACCACATTCCAACCATAAATAAGGTCACACGAGCTTTCTGGAAATGAATAGTTGTGAAACCCGGGGGAGTCGACGTAACGTCAAGTTAGATACGTCACGTTATAGAAGCATCTAAGCCTAATGTCCGATTCGAATACGTAATTCTACTTAATGCTGCCCTTTTCTCCATTTTTTTTCTCAAAAAAAGCCTGAGTATCCCCTCGCACCAACTTATCTTCATTTTCCACTCATATTTCAAAATACTCCCCATCTTTCCATATGATGTCCCATTTTCAGTAGTAATGTCAAAAACAGTACGTCAGCCGACAACGTCCATTAACGATTTCAATTTGTCTAGGGGGGTAAACACTTAAAACACTCTGAGCCTCAAAAAGGCTGCCACACCTTAAATCAACGTCTTTGGAAGTTTTATTTTTCTTAAATTTCTTATGCCACTGAACAACTAGTAACTAAACATATTTCCCCCCAGCCTATGTGAATAATATACGCGTTTTAGATAGAGTGATCCCGGGATTTTCAGAAAACTTATGGTTTGACCGAAATTTTACGTTGTCTAACAACTTGAAAATGAACAATAAATTACCAATTCATACACCAAATATCGAGTAAAATCAGTACAATTCTCATGAAATGGTTTATAAAAGATCAAGCAGTCGTAATAATGACATGTAGTTTTCGTTTTTATACCACATAGGGCGGTTTTATTCTCATTTCAATTATTAAGAATTAAAATTATAATAAACGCGTTCATGTCTCCCCCGCATTTCCAAACAACCGTTTCTATGGCAACTGCCACAGAGTTTCTATCATGAATATTTAAAAAATCTTTTTTATTAAAAATATTC